TGGGAGAGACGGAGGAAAACGGGGTCGTCTTCGCTGACGTAGGCGCGTAAGTTGCTCGCGTAAGGTCGCGCGTAAGCGCCTTCTCTTCCAGCGTCTCGTGCCGCGCTGGCGGCCCGCGTAAGGCACCGCGAAAGGGCGCTATGCCATTTCGCGTAAGACGTGTTGTTGATGGTCGGTCACGTGTGTCCTGATAGCTCGCAGTGGTGTTTTCAGAACAACCACCCAACAGCACCCGTACGTTGCGAAGTGCTTGTTTTCAGCGGCCATTTGTTTGGGGTGACGTTGTGCACCCCATCCATTCCCCTCCCATCTTCCTACGATGCATGGCGAATCAATTGTCCGGTTCGTGTCTTGTTGACGGCGCTCAGACCTGCAGACCTGCAGGTTTGTGCGTGCCCACAGACCGGCAGGTTTGCAGGTCTGTGCGCTATCCTTCCCCTTATGCACATCATTGTATCCATCCTCATCGTCACCGTCAGAATCGTCATCATCGTTGCCGTCATCATCGTCATCCTCATGTTCAATGGCATCGTCGGGTTGGCCTCATCACTGCCATCATCGTTATCATCATCGCCATCATATTCTTTCGCGTCGTCACCATCACCCCACCGTCTTCATCACCCATTGTAGTAACCGGTGTCGCCCATTAGCGTCGCCATCATCACCTTGCCGTTATCATCACCATCATCAACTACGTAAAATTTGAATCGGCGTGGTGCCCCGTGCGTTCCCGAGCATTCCCGTGCGACCGCCGCCGCCGCCCTTGCTTCGATGGCCGCATCCAAAAACAGAAAATACCAGGGACAGACAAGCTTCCAGCCAAAACGTGCACGGTTCGCGAGCTCGCGCGAGAGCAGAAGGGTTGGCCAATGGCGTCGGTGCAGTGGCTCCCGTGACGCCCCCGCCGTGGTGGCCCAGCATGGGGAAGAAGCCCAGGGTGAAGGCGTACCGCGCTTTGCCGCACGACTTGCAGGACCTCGTCTTCAGGCGGGAGAAAGGCCGCCACGATCTCCCACCAGACAGCGACGACATTCGTCGTGCCCTGCGCGCCGTGACATGAGGGAGCCAAGAGGGTTCGCCGCTCCTCCGTGCCATTTGGACGTTCAAGGCGGCTCACCGTTGGCACGAGTTGTCGGTAGGGTACCCGAAGGACTTAGGGACTCAGAGAGACGATAAAAGTACAGTCAATATTGACTTGTGGGCACGGCAATAGTACTGCATAGTGAGAACAACGCCCCATGGCCCATGACGGAAGACGTGTCCATCGATCTGTCGCCCTCGGTTGCGGATAATCAGTGTTTCGTGAATAAGGTATTCGCGACGGAGCCGCGGCAATTCGTCGTCTTAGCAGGCGATTTTGCCAGGAATTTCGAGCAAGAGCTCAACGGAGCTGGGCAAGGCCTGCTGCGCCCGAGAGGTCCTCCTTACGTGGAGCAGGTCGATTCTCTTCCATTGCTTCACTGACGTCGACGGCGCGGCGGGAGCGCCATCCAAATCGCTTGTCAAGTGCCCCACAGAAGTCGCGCTGCGCAAGCTCGAGAAAAATTCCCTCGCCGTCGGCGATCACATGGAGTTCCTGCCCTCCCGAACTTGGGCGCCCTGCCCAGGAAGCCCCGCCAGGAAGCCGCGTGGTTGGCGGTTCGCGGGTTTTCCCAAACCTCTTCCGGCTGGTCGTGACTGACGCGCGCTGGAGACTTCCATCCAAGACGGCTTCCAGCCAAGGTTTTGATCGGCGGGTTGACTGACGCGCCCGCCGCGTTTGGCCTCCGCGCCCAGTTGCGCATCCCCCTGCTTCTCCGCCGCCGCGCCTGGCCGCGAAACACAGCCTCCCCCTTGTCTCCCCATAGCCTCACGCCGCGCCTCCTCCCCCCTTCCCGCTCATCCTGCTCCTGGTGCCTGGTACGTGCGTTCGTGCGTGCGCCTCGCGTGCCTGGTGCGCCTGGAGGGCATGCTTGGCGTGCTCGATCGGTGTGCCTGATGTGCCTCTTCGGCGTGCCCGGCCGGCACGTCTGGCGTTCCTGGCGTTGTGCCTGGTGCACCTGGCCGTGGTGTGCCTGGTCGGCGTGCCTTGCGTGCCTGATCGGTGTGCCAGGTGCGGCTGGCGTGCCTGGTCGGTGTGCCCAGTGTGCCTTGTCGGGACTTAGGTGAGGTCAGTCGGCGTGCCTGGTGTGCTTGGTGTGCCTGGTCGGTGCATTTGCTGTGCCTAGTGTGCTTGACGGGCGTGCCGGGTGTGCCTGGTGGTGTGCCCAGTGTGTTTGGTCGGCGTTTTTGGTATGGTTGGTCGGTGTTCTTGGTGTGTCTGATCGGTGCGTGTGCTTTCTGCGCCTGCTGCGCCTGGCCATCATCATCACCATCAGTCACCACCATTAATTTCGTAATCCCGTCATGACCCATTATCCCATCACCATTCCCCATCTCCTCCTCACCATCATCCATGTCGCCTGCATCATCCTCAGTGCGCCGCCCCAAACCCCATCACCAAGCATCACCACCATCGTTACCTCAACATCACCACCATCCATCCCATTACCACGGTCACTTATTTCATAATCGCCATCATCCATACCATCATCATCACCATCACCGCCCATGCCATTATCAGGCAGTTTTTGTGGCGCTCAGACCTGCGCGAATGCAGGTATGAGGAGCTCTCCGCGCAAGGTTCTCTTAGATAACTGCTTCGTTATCTCTCTCCACCTCGTCATCCCCCGACCACGACGGCCACGATGACGACAACGCCGCCCGACGCCGACGATGGCGACGACGCTTGCAGGACAGGCGCAACAGTCGGATGACGAGGAGGAGGACGAGGAGGGTGGAGGAGGAGGAGGAGGAGGAGGAGGAGGAAGCTGGCGATTATGATACGGCGACGTCGACGCCCTGGCGGAAGGCGCCGGGGAGGCTGACGGCCCTGACGATGCGACGACGATGGCGACCACGGCGGCGGCGGCGACGCGTCCGCAGCGAGGTGCTGGAGAGGCTGCTCCCCGCGGACCGCGTGCAGGAGCTCGAGGAGCGTTTCCGGGCCGACAGGGCGGCCGCCGCCGCCCGCCCCCATCCGTCCGCTCGGTGGTTGCCTTGCGTTGACGTGTTTACGCGGCCTGCCTTGACCCAGGGATCTCTGCGGAAGCGGACCGTGCCCCCAGGGTGTCCCACGCTCTGGGTCGTTCGGCCGTTCGCGCCAGGGCGCAGAGCTCCGCAGAACAGTGCACCTGCGGCCGCAAACTCTGCACATTTGTTCGCGCCCCGCCTTTGCGAGCAGCGCTGGGGCGAAAAGGCGTGCGGGTGAGCCCGGACGTGCGTGACGTCCAAGTCTCCATTCGGCCCTGGACGCTCCCCGCTCACGCAAGCAAAGCTGCCGCGGCCACCAGCCGCACGGGGCCACGCTGGCCGACCTCGGCAGCGCCAAAGGGGGGGGGGGGGCCCTCCTCTGGGGCGCTCGATGCCCCGCCCCAGGCTCGGGGCCAGGGCGGGGCCAGACGTCGGGGTCGGCCACGAGGGGGTGGTGGCTGGACCAGGATCGTGAAAGCGACCCCCATCCCCATCCCATCGCGGCCCCCACCACTCTACCACCCAAGTGAGGAAGCTGCCCCTCGAAAGCCGAAGGAAGCTGCCTATGTCCCCATCTAGGGGGGATGAATCGGCCAGTGGGGCCCAGGCCAGGCCTATTGGGATACATGAGGATAGGCGTCGTGCTGCACGATGCTGAAGTGGGGGGCGGGGCTTTTCTTGTTCAACGCGTCCACCAGCACCTCCCCCCTGGCCGCGCACGTGCTTCGGGCCACGATCTGCGGGTTCCCTCTTGGACGCCCCCATCTTGTTGGACGCCCCCGAAGGCGGGAGGGGGCAGGGCGGAGGCCATGGGCGGGCGGACGACGAACAATGAAGGAAGTCCCGCTGGGGGGTGGTAGGTACGAACAAAGAAGGAATGCGAACAAGGTAGGAAGGAAGGAATAGTGCTAGGAAGGAAGACCCGCTAGGAAGGAAGACGAACAAGGAAGGAGCGCGAACAAGGTAGGGCGGTGGGGTAGGGCGGACCCGCTAGCGACGAATCGCGAAAAGAAGGGGCGGGCGGGGGGGATGGGATGCCCAGAAGGGGCCTCTTCGGAGGAGCGTGGATCGGGACAGATCGTCCCAGAGCGTTCCCGGAACGGTTTCAGAGCGCTCCGGAACGCTGTGGAATGGCCGCGACGCCCACTACCTATTCCAGAGCCGCCAGATCTCAGTAATTCCCTGTTTGTCCCGGTCCGATTTTCCCTTCGTCCTGGCTTCATCATGACGAGTGGCCTTGCGGCGGGAGCTTCTAGGGCATGTGCCCCCCCCCCGACCTACGACGCCTTGGACAAACAGAATTCGTTTTGGGCGATCCCCACCAGAGAGTTGCCGCGCATAGTTTCGAAGTCTGTCCCGTGTTACTCTATGGTGTGGTATATTATGTCGTTGTACGTACGGCTGGTGCGCAATATTTGACATTTGTATGAAGTGTGAGCGCATGTTGCTGCATGTCTGCTGTGTGCGCGACATGTGTCACATGGGTTGTTTGTGAATGTGGCGTATGGTATTTGTTCACATCCTCTACGCAAGCAAATTGTGCGAACGTTGCATGTTAAATGGCGTATGTTATGGATGCATGGTGTGTTATGTTGATGCTTACTGCACGCAGCATGTATTCACCATATTGGCACATGGCCATTATGTTTGTTACGGGTGCCAAGCATTGATGGATGTGTTGGGAGAGTGTCATTGGTGTATCACATGGAATGTAGCTCCACATGGAATAGCTCGATTACGCATGTTCGCGACCTACTCGTGATGCATGCGTTTGTCTGGTGTGCAGTGTTTGTGTGTACGCTGGTGTATCAGACCAAAGCATGTAACTGGAGTGCGATAGGCGTATTGGCGTCGACTATTGATGTAGTGTATGGCTCCCCGTTATGGTTGCACGTTCGTGGTGCATTTTAGCGACGCATGTGATTGGCTCGTGTTCGTGTTTGATGTTGGTTGCGTGTGCCTGGTCTTGATGGTGATTTTTTGATGTCTGTGGACACCGTGACGCCGTGACGCCTGTCATATCGGATTAGTCGTGGATTGTTTCTACCGCTCTGATCTAGAGGGTTCCACAGGGTGTTGGAGGCGAGGGTCTTTCCAAGTCTACCCCTAAGGCCAAAGCAGAGCCAGCTGGTCTTCCCCGACATGAGGAGGAGGGGAGCCTTGAGCAAAAGGATGGGCCCCAGATCGGTGTCTGCGCCCTCCTTGTTGGTCCTCCCCCCCCTCTCTCTTCTTCCCTCTGCGTTGCCCTCCCGCACCTCCTGCGGCGGCCCGTCTGCCAGCAAGCTCGTGACGGGCCCACGGGCCACCCCTTCCCCCCGTCCTCAGGGCGCGCGCGCACCGTAAGGCGGACTTCCCCGACGACGTGTGCTTCAGGCGAGACTGGCGGGGCAGGATGCAGGATGGAGGGAGAAAGGGCGCAGGGGCAGCGGTAGGGGACTCAGGGGATGGGGCGTATCGACCCCCAATCGCCCATCCACCGCTGACAGGAGCCTTATAGTCCACCTCGCCCAGGACCTACATATTGGCCGTCGGGGGCCCACCTTGAGCTAGTCCCACCCACAGAGAATGAGCAAGCGGAAGTACACTCAGGACGCTGCGATAAGGAGCAGTCCGGGCGCAGGAGGGGCTCTGGCTTAAACGCCGTTCTTCAGACCTGAGTCGGGGGGCCTGTTCGTGGCCGAGACTCGCCGTGGCCAGCAGAGCCCCTTCGTTCCCTACACGGCGTTCCTCCGGCAGCATGGTGGCTGTACGAGATAGGCAGAAGCGGAGCAAGAGACGTGCTGCAGAAGCAAGGGCGCCCTCGAGGGCGCGAGGTTGCTCGCGCTTCGCGGTTCGGCTCCGATTTCTCCTCCTCCTCTTCTCCCCTGGGAGGCGGCGCGAGAGCGCGAAGTTATTCGCACTTCGCGCTTCGCGCAGCGCGAAGCGCAAAGCTGGGAGCCCTTGCAGAAGCGGAGCAAGAGGCAGGCTGTAGAAGCGAGGTGTTCGAAGGGGCAGGATGGGCGAGGCAGGGAGGGAGGCCGGGCGGCGGGAGGCAATCACGCAGAGCGCTGTGCGTCGCATGCACGGAAGTCATCACCCACCCAACCACCCCAACCCAACCCGAAGGCTCAGATTTACCCTCGATTTCCAGTGGGGGGAGGGTCGGGAAGCATAGAAAAAACACATGTGGAACCCTTACCCCCCCGCCCCAAAACCCGAAATTCGGGTCTTCGGGTTTGGTTGGGGTGGTCTGGTCGGAAGTCAGGAAGGGGAGGGTAACAGGCTGGTCGTTTTTGTTGTTGCGGGGGCCTCACTGGGGTTCCCTGGGGGCCTCCTGGGAGCCTTTGGGGGCGGACGACTCAGATTTTCCTTTCGATTCGCGCTCACCCTCTTGGGCCCCTCTTGGGGCTGTCGTTGGGCCCTCTTGGGCCGTCTTGGAGCCCGCTTGGCTCGTGCTGACGCCTCCTGGGGGCCTCTTGGGCCGTCTTGGGACGGTTCTGGCCTCTTGGGCCCTCTTGGAGCGTCGGGAGCTCGAAAAATCGAGGACCCCGAACAACTTTTTGGTGACTGATTTCGGCCTCTCGGGGTCCTCTTGGGAAGGCTCTTGGGGCGTCATCGAGGCCTCTTGGGCCGTCTTGGGACCATCTTGGGGGTCTTGGTGCGATCGTTCGACGACGCGGGGCCCTCTTGGACCGTCTTGGGGGCCCATTGAAGCCCTTTTGGCTCGTCTTGGGCCCGCATTGGGCTCGAAGAAGTCACGCGAGAAGCCGCGAGAAGCTCCACGGGCACGCGACAAGCCCAAGGAGATTTGTGATTCGGGGTCAGGGCCCCTCAAATACGCTTCAGGAGTACTTAAGGGATTAGGCAAAGGACCAGAGGACACGCCCACTCCGTGCCCAGCGGCACGGTGGCGGATGAGCTGCAGGAGTGCGGGTCCAGGATTGGGACGCACACCGATGGGATTTGGTGTATAGCAAAGCGGGCTCTGGGTATCTGCCCAGAGCTCGTTGGGTCCGTGCGAGACGAGCACAACATACCAACATGACATCTTCCCCCTCCAGCGCACACACCAGGGGCAGACCTCTGGAAACCTACATCGGTGCACGGCCGTGATGTACATGCTGATGGTGGGTTGTGGCGGGGGCCAGGGTGTATGTGTATGTCTATACTTATGTATGTACATAGTTTTGGGAGCCATCCCGTCTTGTTTTGCCATGTTTTTGTTGGCTCTTGTGCGTGTCGATCGGCTCCACTATCGTTCGCCTCGTGTTTGCTGATCCTGTCATCTGGTCGCCCAGAAAGTAGGACCCATCAATGTCGCCCTCCTCGCGCAGGCGGGACGTGGGAGGGAGACAGGCCTACTCATACAGAGTAATGCCCGATTGGAATGAGCGCTATGCGCATTGCGTAGGCACCTGAGGCATGAAACTTGCTGAGCTCGTGCTTCGGTGGGTCCGGGAGCATCCTCGGGGTTCCTTCGTCCCTGCAGCATCGACTGACCGCCTGTCTAAGTGTTTGCTCAAAGGGGGAAGGGCCCCGCCTGCCGACGCTCCAGGCGCATGCGTGCGGCTCGTACCATGTCAGTGCCACCGTGCACCGCGCCGTGGAACGAGGACAGGGGGAGGGAAGAAGCGGTCCAGCTCTATCGGCGGGCTGATCGGCTTTCCGCAATTTCTACCGATCCCGTTCCCCCAGATCCACGACCATTGGCTCTTCACCATCGCGTTTGCCCAGGTTTGCTGGGGAGTCTCTTCTCGCTCAATAGTGCGAGCGATTCTTTCGCCGCGTTGATTCGTGGTCGTCCTCGAACCCTCAGAGGCCCGCGCGGGATCTGCAGCACGTCCACGCCGAGTGTCGCGGCCTTTCCCCCGCGTTGTGCGGACCCGCCCTCCCTCACCTGCGCAGTGCATGGCTCATCCGCGCAAACCGGCTCGTTAGCACGCATCGTGCCAAGCACAGCATGAGCGGGGCCGTCCTTCGATCATGCTCCTGCCTGTGCATTGCTTCCTTGATTACGGCGTTGGAGTTTGTGCAGAGAGTAGACACCATGGCAGACGTTGGAAGTAGCTGCTGAGTAGATTTCAAGAGCGTTACACGTGTAGTTCAGGGACAGATTTCAAAAGTGCTCAACGAGCTTTTGGGAAAGCCTCGGGACTAACGTCCAGGGACGAAGCAGGTTCCTCAGGGGCAACGTCGCGCGGGGGAAGAGGTTCAGGGTGGGACAGCATCGAGTCCCAATCGCCCATTCATCGCCGATGTGGACCCAATGTCCCGCCCCGTCCAGGAGCCTTCGGACTTGCTATCGGTCCGTATCGGCGATGTGTCGCCGATGATGGGTCGATGTTTCCCCTCTCGACCGATCCCCCCCGAACAGTCCCCGGTGTTCCAAGGGGCGCGAGGCATGGTGTCTTGAGCTTGTGGTGTTCGCGTGCTGCCTTTCGCCTGTGACAACCGCAGCTGTCAGTGCGGCGAATGGCGTGTGGCAAAGGTTAACTAATGGTGTGCGGCTTTGGGGGGTCGTCCTGTGTTGCGCACCAATACACAGGCCTATGCGACCCCCTCAATATGGCGCGACTATCCGTAAGAGACAGCTTCGGTCTCGCACACGGCATCAGTGGGCAGGATTTTGAGAGGCTTTACGGGAACATCGAGGCCTTCATTGGAGCCTCTTCGCGCCTGGTCACAGTTGCCCACCACCACGCAGCCAAAGAACATCACGGCGCAAACACTTGGAACGACTTGCTGGCCCTCGACTTCCCCTTGACGGGTACGCTGGCGGTTTTTCGCTCAGCTAGCCGTCACGGCCGATCTGTCTGCGCTCAGCGTGCACGAGTGCGCCGTGTGCGCACTCTCTCAGGATCTACTGGCTCTGACGTTGGACTTCTCCCTGCCTCGCCGACCCCGACCAATATACATTGGCAGCGGACAGGCCAGCAGCGGGCGCGAGCTACACGAACCACCCCTTGTCAGGCGACGATTGCTCGCGGGGTCCTCAAGATCAACAGGGGCCTGAGGGAGGCGCCTCGGCCAACGAAAATTCCAGCAAGACCCTAGCAGCCAGCCGCGTGAACGCCTACAAGCTACAAGCGGGGAGTCGAATGCCGGTGGATCTGTACCCCCTGCCGGAGGGCCGCCCAAGATGCTAAAGGACAACCAATCCCGCAGGGCGCGAAGCTGGCCAGTTTCCTGCGTGACTTAGACCAGAAGCAACCTACCGCATCCAAGCCCCCCGGATTTGAACAGTTGCCAGCGGCACCCCAGATCGCCTTCCCCGACGCCCAGACACAACTCTGGCAGCTCATGTTGCCGCAGGATGAGACTCAACGACCCAGGCAGGGTACGCACCACCATATTGGCCCAGCGCACCGGAGACGACAGGTTCAGTGGACAGGCGGCGACGCAAGGGTGGAAGTGCTGATGTGACCGCTGCCCTTGTACCGCCCCGCTACATGAGTGGAAGTGCGGACAAAGACCGCTGGGCATGTTCATCTTCCGCCCCAGCCCGCCGACCCAGCATTTTTCAGCCAGGGCCCCCCGCCGTTCAGCGACTGGGTCAGCACCTTCCTGGCCATGCAATGCAGCGCCACCTGGTTATGTGAGCGCTGCCTGGCTGACCTCTTGGAACGTGCGACCGACAGACGCGGTGCAGATTTTGGCGAGGGATGGCGCGAAGGTGCACCCACACACCCCGCCCAAGAGGCCACCGGCTCCCGCCGCATCCTCTCCCCGCTCGGAACCCGCCGCTGGGGGGGCCTCCCACGCCCGCGCGGGGCATCCCCCAGCTCGCACATGCCAGGGACCAGGATAGCCAGGCGCTCGCAGCCCTCTTTTGGAGCCTTCGAGGGGGCCCATGCCGGTGCCCCAGACCAAACCAGCAGAGGCCAGCCACCTGGGAAAGCCGAGGGAGCGCGCGTCGCCATGCAGTCAGCGCGACGAAACCAGGGCCGCGCCAGCCACCCTGACCACGACCGCGCCGTCGGCTCAGGAGGGGCCCGTCCCCGCGCGCACAGCCGCCCCCCCCCTCGCCCAAGGGCCAGGCCCCGCGAGGGCAGAGGGCCGGCCCCGGGACTGGGACCCTGAGGTCTGCTAGTTCTTAAAATAAGAACCCTGCTATGTTAGATGCCCAAAGTGTTCGTTAGGTATCAAAACTGTTCGTTAGGCATGTGTATATCTTATTATGTATCATGTGAGCGCTACCAAGTGATTCATTATGTGTTTCTTTCTCCTGCGCACCACAACCCCTTTCCTAATCATTCTCAGTGTGCTCTTGAACTATGTGCCAACGGTTCGATTACTATTTTGCAATTCACCAAGCCCCCTCGCTAAAGTTTGGCGTTCCTCGCGTTCCCTTGTACGTGTTCTGCTCCTCATCCGCTTTGCGCGCCGCGTTATGGCCCTTGCGCGCGCGGCCTGGGTCGCGCGAGCGATCGCCGCGCAGCGATGTCGTCCAGGAGGAGATGCCGCGATCCAGGCGATGTTTCTTCCTCCTCCTCCTCCTCCTCATCGTCCTCATCATCGGTTCTCTTACTCCTCATCCTTCGCTTCCCTCATCCTTAGTACCTTCCTCCTCCTCCGTGTTTTCATCCCCCTCCTCCAACTCTCCGTCGTCATCGTGGCCACCCTCCATCTTCATCACCTTCATCATTGTCCTCCCTCTCGATCCTTCTCCCCATCCTCATTCGCTCGCACCCTGTTTTCGAAGGCGGGGTAGATAACTGCGCTGGAGGGCGCGTGGGAGGAGGGCGGAGGCGGAAGATGGCTAGGAGGGACGATGCAGGAAAATGGAAACGGCGCACCACCACCATCTTCGATGCTCGCTCGGGGGGGCACGTGGACACGTCGATCGCCGACAAAAAAGTATATCCACAACAACGCAGTTGTGGTGTGTTTTTTTTTCGAATCGGCCAGGTGAATTGGCCAAGGATATCATCCAGAAGTACATCGACACCCCGTCGAGGTTCGACTATTCGACCGATTTCGAGGACCTCCCAGACCATCGGAAGTTGAAGGCAGCCGCGCAGTTCATCATAGAGCTGCGCACGAACATCGTGATCCCGTTCGGCCCGATCGTGCAAGCACCACTCGCGAAAATCATGCAAGAGGTTGCATCCGACAAAGAGTCAGAATGGAAGTTGACAACAAATCAAAAAAAATGGGGGGTCGAAAAAGCAAAAATGGTCAGAGCGATGCTGAGGCACGTAGACCAGGGCGTATTAAAGGCAAAGTCAAAAACATCGGGCGTGCCAACTTGGGTGAAGCCATTCGTGGATGCAGACGCGCAGGCGAACATGGGGCAACATATAAAGGGGGGCGCGTGGCCTGCATGGTTGAATTTTATATTTTCCATGACGATTTCAAGGTCCTCGATCCTCATGTTCCTTGTGTTCCTCCTTCTCGTCTCGTGTTTCCCTTATCACCTCGCGATCCTCCGACCGCGCTCCATCGAGCGGCGTCGCCGTCATAAAGGGAATATTGGGAAGACGGGGAGGTGGAGGAGGAGGGGGAGGAGCAGGAGGAGCAGGAGGAGCAGGAGGAGGAGGAGGAGGAGGAGGGGCGGGAAAAAGGCGGCGAGGAATCATAGGATGAGGAGGAGGAGGAGGAGGAGGAGGAGGAGGAGGAGGAGGAGGAGGAGGGGGGGGGGAGGGGGAGGGGGAGGAAGTGAGGAGGAGAAAACTGATGACGTGGATGAAGATAGGAGGAGGGGCTCGAGAGGGCAGAGACTAGATGGAGAAGGAATTGAACGATGGGTCGGTGGGGGTGAGGGAGTTGGGAAGGGAGGGGGGTCGGAGCTGGCGCCCGCCGCCGACGGCCGCGCGGGATCAGTCGTCGGCAGCGCCTCCCCTCCCGTCTGGCCCAGGCAACTGACCAGATGGCGGTGGAGATGACGGACTACAAGTACGGGTGGAACGAGATGTTCGGGGCGCGCCCCGATCCGTTGAGGAGGGATGATCATGGGTGGACGGGAGATGAGACGAGTAGGACAACGAGCAGGATGAAGAATTGGACGGCGACGACGAATATGACGGGTGAGATGATGAGTAGAATGGCGAGCAAGACGGCGGCGTACATGACAACGAGTAGGACGATGATGGGGGCAGGATGAGGCGAAAGGATGGAAGGGGAGGATGAGGAGGAGGAGGAGGAGGTGGGGGGAGGAGGAGGAGGAGAGGGAGCGGGAGGAGAAGGAGGAGGAGGAGGAGACCTTCTCCGAAGGCGCATAGCGCTCGCAATTGCCTGGAGGATGAGAAGGAGGAGGAGGGGGAGGGGGCGGGGGGGGAGGAGGGGGGGGGGGCGGGAGGGAGAGGGGAGGAGAAGGACAAACGAGCATGAAGGAGGAGGAGGAAGGGAGACTTGGGGGCATGATGGGAATGAACAGTGGGAGGAGAAGCGTGATGATTTGCCGTGGCAGGCGGCCTACAGGGTCCTCGGCACGCAGCACCCAGAGTACTGCCTGCCGATCAAAATGCCCGAGGACGCCGAGGAGACAGACCTTCTGACGGCGCGCTTCCGCGATGGCTCGACGTACGAGGTGCCGGGCTCGTCCGCCGCCGCACGATGGGGCAGAATGAGATGGAAGGAGTGCAGTAGGTCAGGAGGGAGATGGCGCGGAGGATGAGATCGGCGGAGGAGGGGGAGTGGAAGAGGGGGGAGAATGAGGGGGGGTGCTCCGCAATCGATGATCATGCAGGCATCGTGCCAACGCGGGCGCAGGTAGTTGAGACGGACGGAGAGTTGGGCGGGGGAGGAGATGAGGGCAGGCGAGCAGGAGGAGGAGGAGGGGGAGGAGGGCAGGGGGAGGAAGTGGGGGAAGGGAGAGTAGGCAAGAAGAAGGAAGGAGGGATTACCATCGCGAGGAAGGAGGTGAGGAGGTGGTGGGAACAGTCCCGACCGCTGGCCCGACAGGCATGACCTGGGACCAGTGGCAACAGGGCGGCTACGCGGACCGCCAGGTGAAGCCGCGCAAGAACATGTTTTGGTGTGGCGTGGATCATGACAACAACGGGGTCACAGGGGGGCAATGTGAAATATACTCAAAGGAAATACAGGAGGAGGATGCTGGAGATCAGGAGGAGGAGGAGGAGGAGAGGGGGGGGGGAGGAGGAGGGTGGCTGTATCGCAGAGCGGCACTGCGCGGATGGGAGGGCGATGAGATGGCGTCGGCGTGGACGGAGGGATGTGAAAGTGAGCGGGTGGTGGGAGGACATGGGGTAGTGGGAAGGTAGGGAGGGGGGCATGGGGGGGGCAGGGCGGGCATGAGGAAGCGCAGGGCGGGGGGGTGGTAGGGGGAGGGTAGGTGGTGAAGGGGAAGAGTAGAGGGCGAGAGGAGGCGGGTAGCGGGCGAGATGGGGTGGATGGCGAGCAGCGGAGAGCAGAGGGGGCAAAGGGCGATGCGAGGTCATATGCTTCCCCGCCCCGCCCCGCCTTCGCAGCCAGGTCTACGCGACCCGCTACGACAGGAACGGCGGTAAGCAGAAGTTCCTGGCGATCTTCCACCACGGGATCGCGGGGACGACTTCGACGAACGGCGCAATGGTGCTCAACATGCCGATCGTTGACCACTCGAAGTGCGCCGAGGAGGAAGTATTCGTCACATCGTTGGCGAATGATTACATCGCGGGCCGCATCGATCGGGACGAGATGAACGCGAAGAAGAACGAGCACGTCAAGGAGAACAAAGCACGGATGAAAAAGGGCGACGATAAGAAGGCTGGTGGCGCGAAGTCTGCCAAATCAAAGGCAACGAAGATACCAAAGAAAGAGAAAGCTGAGTACGATGGCGACAGCGACCGCAAGGAAGAGAAAGATGATGATGACGACAACGGGTTTGGCGACCTCATGAGCAAAGATAAAGAGGGCGACGACAGCGATGAGCAAGGAAGCAGTGATGCAGCGCCGTTGGTGACTGCGGAGGATCCACCGAAGACCACCGCTAAGCCAAAGAAGAAAATTTGCAAGAAGTCGAAAGATTTGAGCGGGCCGTCCGACAGTGCTGCTCCGTCGATGGTGCACAAAGGCAAGGCCGCGACGGGCGTCAAGGCGGAGACCGACGAGGAAGAGGACGAGGACGAGGCAGAAGGTGCGGCGGCGGCGGCGGTCCTGAAGCGCCCAGCGGCTGACGCGGAGGAGCCTGAGCCGCGCAAGACGCAGAAGGTGGGAACTGTGCAATTATCGCCATATGTACCCCCACACTGGTGTATAGCAGTAGCTCTAAACCTCACGGTTTCAAACGTGAAAGCAGCTCGCAGATCCAGGGGGGCCCCATGGGGCCACTGCGGTTTCACCGCGAGGTGTTTCACAGTTGAGCCATGTTTCAACAAAAACACGTGATCCACTCACCGCAAACTCACCGCAAACTCACCGCAAACTCACCGCGGCGCCGCCTCGCGCTATCAGTTGAGACCCCGAGAGGTGACTAAGGGTGGCAGCAGTAGCTCCGCTGGTCCAGCTGCGCCCGAGACGGTTGCGAAGGCCACCCCCGATCGACGGGCAGCCTATGGGATGACGGAGGGGTAGCGGAGGCATATGGGATGACGGAGGTGTAGGCGGTGGCAGGAGGTGGGATGCGAGGGAGCGGTTGACGGGAGGGATGGCATGATAGCCGATCGGAGCGAGGTGGCGGCAGGATGCAGGAGGTCGAAGGATCGGAGGATCGGAAGGATGGAGGTATATGCCTCGAGAGCGAGGGGTGGAGATGAGAAAGAGATCGGGGAGAGCACGGATACGCAGACAAGAGCTGAGAGTGGCATCGGTGGGGGGATGTTGCAGGGTCGAGAAAGGGGGAGGCGATTGGGCGGGGGGGGGCGACTGACGAATTCGTTCGGTGGTGATCGTTTGCCCCCGAGGCGACGGACGCCGAGCACCAGCTGGTCATCGCCCCGAACGCCCCGAAGGCCAAGTCGAGCACCCCCAAGGCCAAGTCGAGCATCCCGAAGGCCACGCCGAACATTCCGAAGGCATCCACCCCGAACGCCGAGCCGAAGCTCGAGCTGGTCGACAAGAAGGCCGCGCCGCTGAACAACCTGCCTGGTTCGACCAGCGTTGGAGCAGGCCCCAGCGGGGAGATGGGAGAAGGACGGACGAAGGGAGATTAGGGATGGCGGCGCAACGGTATCCCCTCTGCGTTTAGGCTATAAGGATGCTATCGCGTATGCCAACAAGTGCATGGCCAACGGCCCCCCTTGGGCGCAGCATGATGAGACCACGGGCCAGCCCAAATTCTTCGTCCCTGCCAAGAGATAGGGCCGTGCACTTGATTGCCTACGCGATATGCTGATGAATTGCGCCAAGATGTATCATCTTTTATTGATAGAACGGTTGCTTCCCAATTGCTTTCTTCTCCTCTATGCATCCTGGTATGATTCACACGCCCATGTAACCTCATCGTCGTCTTCCGTCGGACTTCCATCCTCGTCCGTCGCGCCATCGTCCTCACCGCCATCGTTGCTGATGTCAGTTGCAGGAAAGATCATCACATATTGCTTGCCACCATCCCGCGCCCGCCCGCCTCTCGCAGGCGACGAGATCATCCCCGACATGTTCGGCGGCGACTTCATGTGGTGATACGCCAGCCTGCGGCAAGGCAGGGTGGCGCTGCGGCAAGGCACACGTGGTTGCCGCACGGCCGTCGTGCACCCTGCTATCCTCATCCCCTCAACCTCTCCCACTCAACTTCCCCGCCCCTACGGTCACATTCGATCCTCATCCAACGATTTATTGAATTGCACCCCGCGCCACCTCTCCTACATGTGTTCATCCTCGTTCGCCCTAACCACTTCCCCGCTCGCCCACTCCTCCGCACCTGAGCTCCCTCCTTCTATCCTCCAGCAGTCTGCTCCACTCACTCTTCGCTGCCACATCTCCTGCACATAGTGCGTATCGGCCTCACACCCCGTCAGTGACGTCGGTTCTGAGGAGTATACGAGGTCGAGTTGATCGACACATAAGACCCCATTCTTGACACGGGGGCGAGAGGGGAAACGAGAGAGTCCGAGCTAAGAATTCGAGAGGGGCCAGGGGGACGCAGTCGGGCAGTGACGCTGGCGGCGGTACCACAGCCACTCTGACTCGAATGCATTCGTACCACGACATCAGGCGTTGGTTGCACAAAGTGCCATTCACTAGTGAACAGCCTGCTAGAGACACCTCCGCTGACCCGATGCCTCCCGCCATGCATTGCGAGAATTGCGGTGCTGATGACCATTGGACGGGCGATCCGCAATGCATCGTTTGCCCTCAGCCCTGCGGCAAGTGGGGCGGCACCAAGCCCGACGACACGCCCGTCGAGTTCGCGCACCCGTCCGTCGCTCAGGAAGGGGATGGCGTGGCCTCCGACGCCGCGCTCGCAGCCGTGCTCGCCGCCAGCGAGGCTGGCGAGGCGCCTCCCGCGCCAGCGCCGCGCCATGAGCAAGCTGAGGAAGCGATTGTCGTGGATGACGACACGCTTGAGCCGACGGCACAGGCGCCGCCGCCATCGCAGGGCGCGTCGAGCTCTGCAGCCGAGCAGCCAGCAACCTCGACAGCCACTGCCGCAGCACAGCAGAGCCCCGACGCAGGTGAGCAGAAGACTGGTCCACCTGATCCGAAGGAGCTGCTGGCGGGGCTGCTTAAGGATGTCACGTCGCCGACGAGCGTGCTCCAGCTGCTCGAGCTCCTCCAAGCGCAGGTGGGAAATGCCCAGGCTTTGCTGGCGCGGAGCCCGCGAGAAGAAGGGACAGAGGCTGCGCGTGCACTTCTTGCAGCGCGTTCGGCAGCGGCGCCTGCGACGCCAGTCGCGCCAACCGCCAGCGCTGGAGGTGCCGTTCCCGCAGACGCGGAGCCCCCCAACGACGGGCAGGCGCCGCCTGAGCCCGCGGCGAAGGCCCGCCCGCAGCCTCCAACGCCACCGCAGCAGCCGCAGACCAGCCCGCGTGACGAGCCTGGGGCCGCCGCTGCACCCGAGGACGATGCGTCCAAGGCTGCGCCCTGCCCTGCTTCGGCCAACGCTGGTGACGCAGGTGCGGATCCAGCGCAGCCGCGTAACCCCGCGCTCTGGGAGGGGGCGACGGCAGCTGGGTGGCCACCTGCCCGCGGCTTGCCGACCACGTCGGAGGCGGACGCAGCTGCTGGAGGTGATGCGACTGGCGCGCAAGAGGATGTTGAACCCAAACTTAAATTAGGGGGATGGGGTGCGTCCGTGCGTCGGTGGAGGATGGAGGATCGGCATCGGGGAAGCGAGGGCGAGGCAGGTGCGGAGGGCGAGGCGCGCGAGGGAGAGGGCGATAAGGGTTTGGCGCGGAGGAGGGAGAGGAGGACGATGAGGAGGAGGAGGGGGAGGAGTGATGAGGAGACTGAGGAGGAAGGAGGGATGCCAACGAGGAGAAGGGGGAGGAGACGGATGAGCAGGAGGAGACGGATGAGGAGACGGACTAGGAGGGGGGATGGGATGATGATGGGGAGGCGGCAAGGGAGGACGACGGCGACCCGATACCCCCCCGTCATTATCATCGCGGGATGGGGGGCGCCTCGAGGAGAGCTGGTTCCACGCCGCCGCCGTGGAGATGCCCGCGGACGCCGCAGCGTACAAGCAGGCCTGGCGGACGGGGCGGAGGAGGCGGGTGAGGTGGATAAGGCGGATGAGACCACGTCGGAAGATGGAGATGGCATATGAGGTGGCTGCGGTGGCGGAGGATGTTGGGGGGGGAGGAAGAGGAGTAGGAGGTTGATGAGGTGACGGATCGATATGTGATGATTTTTGTTCTCCCGAGACCGTGCTGCGCGAGCTCGAGGCGGCGCAGAAGGCTGTCTACCAGGAGACGGATGGCCTTGCCGACGAGGGGATCGGGATCATGATGAACTCGCTGAAGAACTTCCACGGGCTGTCTTGCATCACTCAGATGAGGCAGATTCGAGAACACGACGAGGTCGGTGATGGCGGCGAAGATAAAAAGCAGCAGAAGGACAAGGAAGAGCAAGCCATGTGGACAGAATTGCAGAACAACGGCTTCATGTTCCAGACCCGTGGCCATAAAATGAGTTCGAGGTGGAACCGTGCTCTTTTAAACGATGCTCAGTTGAAGCAGAAGTACAAAGAAGCGATGGGACTTCTCAATAAGGAGAAGGTCAGATCGGACTGGTGCAAGCTGCAGTTCAGCGCCTTCACCCAGCGGAAAGAGAAGCTCGTGGAGAATCGGAAGAAAGAAAAGATGGAGGGGAAATACTTGGCGTTGAGGAGGATCGCCCACAAGGAGGGCGGGGGCAGAGAAGGATACCGCGCAGCAATGGCTTACGCGACCAACTGTTGCTTGATGTCCAAACACTGGGTGAAGTGGGACGATATGACAGGGCAGCTCAAGTTCTACTACGTGGAGCACTCGATCTCGGACGAGTACACGCAGTCGTGGCGGACGTGGACTACGTGGGCTAACGAGGTGCCGACGGACGGCGCTGCCGAGTCTGTGGCAAGTGGCGTGATTGCAGGTGGTGTCGCTGGCAGCAGTGCCGCGGCGAGTGGTGCAGTTGTGGGCCCAGTCAGCGCAGCGCCATTGGGATCGGTGGCAACGGTTCCAGATGGTGCGGGCGGCCAAGTTCCGTCGGGTCAGCCTCAGGCATCGTCGACGGCGAGTGGCAAAGGGAAGGGCAGGCGTACGAAGGGCGAGAACCCGACAGAGGGGAAGGGGCACGGGAAATCCGCTGGCGGAGGTGACGGAGGTGATGGAGGTGACGCAGGTGACGGAGGTCACGGGCCGCCGCAGAAGCGCGTCAAGACGAGCTTCGACACCGCCATGGCCGCCTTCAAGCAGCAGCGCATCGCCTACCGCGGCGCGGTCACGTCGGCCCGCGCAGTGCTTGACTTGATCACCGAGGACGCAACCTGGGAGTGGGCTCGCAACGAGCAGAACCAGGGGAAGTTGCAGACCGAGTTCGACAATGTCCGCTGGGCAATCATAAATCATATAAGGTTGTGGCTTTGAGGAGGATGAGCACGGCGACGGACGACGGGGCTAAGAGGTACGATGAGGAGGCCGAGGATGATGAAGAGGACATGGATGGGATGAATAACAAGATGAGGATGACGATGACGGTGAGGAGGATCAGGATGGAGCACGATAGGGCGGACGATGAGGAACTAGGATGAGGAGGCGGTTGGGGGCGAAATTGGCCATGCACCCCGC